TTAAGTGGGAGAACTTGCACAATTGGTGACTGACTAAATACTTTTTTGCCCCACTGTAATTATGGGGCTTTTAATAGTTCTCATGCTGCTTTCTCTTTTATTAGATTCTCGGTTCCACTCTGGCAGTACAGCATTGGTGCTTTGATTGCTCTGATAGAAAAAAAATGAAATGGCACTTTGGCAGGGTTTCTATTGCAGGACCTAAGTGACCCTATCTGTGATGTTCACATCTTCTGTTGATACTACCTTTTTCACAAATGTTTAGTTTCTGTTTAGAACAGATCTTTTGCACTACTGACTGTTCTTCCTTTGAGGAAACATTAGGTTTCTGGTTTTGATTTCAGTTTCAGAGTTTGATCTTTTTGATCTTTGTCTATAGCTACCTTATAGCATTTACCTTGTATTTTATCAGGCATTGCCTAACTCTGCTTAATCAAATTATGTTTAGGTGTGCACGAATATTTCCAATTGCTGCACTGCCTAAATCTGCTGCTAATGTGTCAGCAAAAATTCATGGTCTATCAATTCTTGGAAAATCAAAACAGCTGTTCTCATTCAACCACCATCTGCCCTATAAAAGTGTGGAGTGATTAATCTGACCAACAAATACTGCTTTAGGAAGTTTGAAATAACATACGTATTTTCCCAATATTGCTTCAGGCAAAAACCCTGTAGAAGCTGCAATTTAAATATTGTTGCATGTAAATGCATGATTCTGTGCAGCAAGAGCCATTAGTAAAAATTTTTCTCAATGCAGGAATGTGAAACAAAGATTGCACGAGAAATTGCTAGTCTTTCAAAGGAGGATGTTTCCAAAGAAGAAATGAATGAAAATGAAGAAGTTATAAATATTTTGCTGGCTCAGGTAGTGCCCGTTGTTTACCTTATTTCATTTTTATTCTCAGCATTTAACCTGCACACTGTGAAAATAAGTTGGGGAGAAGTGACTATCCATATTTGAAAGAGACAATTTCTTCTTGCAGGCATAGTGTATTTTATGTATTTTTTTAATCAATAGCTGCAATTGTATTGTGTTTCTTGAGTCAAATAAAAAACAGTGAAGTGATTAGATAGCTATCAAATATAGTGCCAGTTCTAAGTATCCAGGAGGACTTAATGAAGTTCTTGTGGTTGACTCTGATCTGAAGTAGCTGATCTGGGATCTTTAGAGGCCAGGATTGGAAGAAGACTAAGCGGCATGTGTGTTTCACCACTGACTTATAAAAAGCTGATTTCTCTAAGTAATGTGGGCAATTTTCAATTCAGAATCTCAAGACCATTTGAGATAATTAGGTGCATTGATTGAATTCCTTACCGAGTAGCATCACTTACCAACCCTGCTAGTTCTTCACCTCCCTGGTGAAGGGAAGAAGCCCTGCAAGAAGTCCTTTCTGTTTCTCTGTTTTCCTCAGGATTGATTGATTGATTGATTTAATTTTTCAACCGCCCATCTCCCCCCAATGGGGG